CTAGAGCCTTGCTCTCAGTCAGAAGAGTTGCAATTAACACCTGCTGTTCATGACTGGAAGCTTTTAGCTGGGCCACTTCCCAGCCACCATTCTGTACTCCTACCTGAAGCGTGAGCAGGATTTCCTCCTCTTCCCAAAAACTTCACCCATTTTCATTTTGCAATTGAATCCTGAGCAGTGTGCATGGCTTTATGAATTAAGTAGCCTTTGACACAGTGATCTTTGCAATTGAGGGCATGATCTTTGAGAGGCTAAGAGCTGTAGTCAGTGCCTGAGGGATGGATGCTTTGCTTTCATTCATCTTCTCTGAGTGTTAGCAGCAGTTGTGAAGGGAGAGATGCTTCCCAGATTTTTGAAATTTTTTTTGTATGTCTTGCATTACAGTGCTCATGACAAGGGAAATGCAGATTTTTTGATGTAACAAATTGATAATGGGTCTGTTAATCAGACTGATACAAATGCATGTGTTTGTTGGCCAGCTTGAAGAGGGTAAAATGTGAGAAGTTTAGCAATAGTGTGGTGCAGAGGCAGGAGAGGAGGATTTCCCTGGGAGTCAGAGTTCATGAAAGGGCTGTATAACCTGGTGAGGATCTGGTCAGAAGTCTTATACCAGATGAAGACCTGGGGCTCCTGCCCTCCTCGAGTCCTGAGCCATGCAAATATGTCTCAGGAGTCTTCTTGCATATAGAAAAGACAAGACAATGCCAAGCTTATAATATAAAATCATAATATAAAATCTTTGTGCAAAAGATGGAACTTTGGTGCTCTGTATGGCATCACCTGAGGAAAAAATTTGCATGGGCAGGATAACTGGAGTTAGCATCTGGTCAGTGCTACCCAAGATAGGTGCTTTGGGTAGGTATATAAGTTCCTGTTTTCATCTGCCACATTCATCCATTTCCTGCTCCTCTGGAGAGAACATCTATGTTTCAGTAGGGCTCTGAGAGCTGCATGTGGTAAGAAATAAACATTTTGCACTTGAGTCAAAACCTGCTGAGATTTGCAGTGGCACTTCTGTCCCATGGGATTTAATTCCCTGGTCATACACTGTTCCTCAAAAAATCCCAGTCTTTTGCAGAAATTAACTTTATCCTGGTGAGAGTCAAATGATTTAGAAGGGCAACAAAGCTGTTGAAGGGTCAAGAAAGTCCCTTGAGGAGTGGCTGAGGGAGCTGGGGTATTTAGCCTGGAAAAGAGAAGGCTCAGGGGAGGTCTTATCACTCTCTCCAACTACTTGAAAGGAGGCTGTGCCATGGTGGTAGTTGGCCTCTTCTCCCACACAGCTAGTGACAGGGTAAGAGGAAATGACCTCAAGCTGTGCCAGGGAAAATTCAGGTTGGATATCAGGAAGAATTTCTTCAAGGCAAGAGGGATGACCCTGGTAACTACAGGCCTGTTGGTCTCACTTCAGTGCCTGATTGAATTATGGAGAAGATTATGCTGTGAGTTATTAAAAAATACCTGAAAGACAATGCAGTCATCAGTCACAGCCAGCACGCGTTCATGAAGGGAAGGTCCTCCTTGACAAACTTAATTCCCTTTTTGGATGAGGTAACCCACCTGATCAAGGGAAGCCAATTAATGTAATCTTTCTGGATTTCAGTAAAGCTTTTGATACTGTCTCTCACAGTATACTTTTGGACAAAATGTCCAGCACACAGCTGGATAAACACATGAGCAACTGGCTGATGGTACAAAGGGCACAAAGGGTTACAGTAAGTGGGGTAACATCAGGCTTGTGACCTGTCACTAGTGGGGTTCCACAGAGCTCCATCTTAGGGCCAGTGCTCTTCAACATCTTCATAAATGACTTGGATACAGGACTGGAAAAGATATAAGTAAACTTGGTCACTAAATTGGGAGGGGCTGTTGAAGGCCAGGAGGCCCTGCAGAGAGACCTCAACAAATTAGAGGACTGGGCAATCACCAACCATATGAAATTGAAAAAGGGAAAGTGCAGGATTCTGCACCTGGGATGGGGCAACCCTGGATGTACAGACAGACTGGGATACAAAAGGCTGGGAGAGCATCCCCATGCAAAGGAACCTGGGGGTCCTGGTCGATGGCAAGTTGAATATGAGTCAGCAGTGCCCTGGCAGCCAGGAGGGCCAACCCATGTCCTGGGGGGCATCAGGCAAAGCATCACCAGCTGGTCAAGGGAGGGGATTGTCCCGCTCTGCTCTGCACTGGGGCGGCCTCACCTTGAACATTGTGTGCAGTTTTGGGCACCGCAATATAAGAAAGATATTGAGCTCTTAGAGAGTGTCCAAAGGAGGGCAACAAAGATGGTGAAGGGCCTTGAGGGGAAGCTGTATGAGGAGTGGCTGAGGGCACTTGGGGTGTTCAGCCTGGAGGAGACTGAGGGGAGACCTTATCGCGGCCTACGTGTTTCTTCGGAGGGGAAGAGGAGGGGCAGGCACTGATCTCTTCTCTGTGGTGACCAGTGACAGGACCCAGGGAGGGAATGGCATGAAACTGTGTCAGGGGGAAGGGTTAGGTTAAATATAAGGAAAAGATTTTTCACCCAGTGGGTGGTTGGGCCCTGGAACAGGCTCCCCAGGGAAGTGGTCACAGCACCAACCCTGTCTGAGTTCAAGAAGCTTTTGGACAACACTCTGAGGGGCATGGCGTGATTTTTGGGGTGTCCTCTGCAGGGCCAGGAGCTGGACTTCGATGATCCTTGTGAGTCCCTTCCAACTCAGGACATTCTAAGATTCTATGGCTTTGTTTGGTTTAGTAGCAACAGAATGTTTGGCACTGGGCTGAGGCAGGCCATAGATAGAGAGGCTTTGGAGCAGTGGAGGCTGTGTTGGTTTTTTCCCCTCCTTTTTCTTTCTCCAGACTCACCTTTTTGAAGGAGAGAATAAGAGAAGATTTGCTCCTTGGGTTAGGCAATCGCTGTCCAGTCAGGACTGGTAGGTGTTGTCCTTCGTAGCCAGGGAGATCACTCAGCGGACGCACAGGGTGGGGTTCACAAAAAGGTCACACCACACAGGTCTTCTCCCTCCAAAGAAAAAAATACGGGCAGGTTAGCTGTGTTCCCCTCTACAGGGCTTTTGTCATATGGCTGAAAACCTACCTTTGGTTAGGAGCAGCTTTTGAGAGTGACTTTTCTCCAGGAACACAGATAAAGGAAGGGAGTAGGTAAAGGAGAGATCCAGATTAGACATTGGGCTGGGATAAGTTTGGAGAAGATGTGAAGGAAAGCACGTGCTGGCTAAAGGGGAAGGTGGGATTGTTAGCTTCATGGGGATATGAACACCTCACTTCACTGTGAGGATGCTGAGGCACTGGAACAGGTTGCCCGGAGAAGTTGTGGATTCCCCATTCCTGGAAGAGTTCAAGGTCTAGTGGAAGGTTGGCAACCCCCTGCCAATGGCCAGGGGGGTTGGAATGAGGTGGTATTTAAGATCCCTTCCAACTCAAACCATTCTATGATTCTATGAGATAGATCTGGATTTTTTCTTTCTTACCTGGAGACTTTGTAAAATCTACAGAGAGCTGCTGAGCTTTGGCTTCTACAAAATAGGTAAATGTTGGCTTACCCTGGTCTGCACCTGGCACTTCTAGGTGAAACAAGGAGATGACATTTCCTCCTCCTTTCTCTTGCCCCAGAAGAGAAATATCAAGGACAAAGATACACAGGGAAAGCTAAGGTCAGGGAGAACAGACTAATGAAGCAGCTCTGCCTTGACAGGCTGCTATTTAAATGAACTTACAGCTTGCAAGACCTGACATTTATGCAAATGCTAAAGGTGCCCAAGTTAGTCTTGCAGTATGTTTGCATGCACACCTTAGTACTTGGTTTTACGTGCATATGTGGGATCTTCAGGCATCTGAGCCACTTCTGCTGGCCTTACCTTTTATTGACTCTGAAGCATTCTGGAACAGCTTTTATTCAAAAGAAAATACTGGAAGATGTTCAATGTAAAGACGAAGTAGAGCTTAGTTTAATGCTGGATTGTATATAATTCTGGTCTGATGTTCATTCAGGGATAGCAACAATGTTGCTTGCTCAGTGCTCAGCGCTCAGCCATTAAAGCAAACCTGTATCAAAAGAGGATCTCTGTATTTAGCTTTTATTATGGTTATTGTGATTAACTAATACCTTAGTTAACTTGCTACACAGGAATGTTATTAAATGACCTGCTGTATGAAAAGGGGCCATGTGTTTTTGCAGTCAGATCAAAGGTTGTGTCACATGGCAGAGAGCAGGATAAGTGTGGTATTGCTCACTGCTACCTCTTCTGTCTTCTAAAGGTTGCATTCATTATATGGTCATACCAGTGGATGAAAATATTGTGTATTCATCCACCTCTTTCTTAAGGGCAAGTTAGCACTATTTTCCAGGAGAAACCTGAACCGAGGAAGGACTTTGGACTTGCCAGATCCTGTTGGGTGAGGACAGGAAAGAAATTCATATCTCCTTGGACGTTTTTATGAGCTGGCTCCAGTGTTAGAGAGAATGAGAATGACCTGCTTGAATTCTGAAGCTTTCAGTTCCATGATTTATTTTTTAAAAATGCTAATATCTACCATTAAGCACACATTCTTCGCAAATTAAAGAGATCCCAGTGCTGCTCCTGTTGAACCCCTTATAGTTACTCAGAAAAAGAAACAATCCTTCCTACTCACGTATAGGACAGTGATGTTTATGCCAATTCAGGGGTTGCTGTACTTCAGTTTGTTACTCATTAGAAATTTAAAAAAGGTTTGGAAAGGAAACAGTAGGAGCCTTGTTCCAACACTCTTATTCAGCTGGAAATCATCTTAAATCCAAGTTGTTTTTTTAGTTTATTGCCTTCGATTAGCTAATTCAGGGGAATGAAATTTTAAAATGATGATTAAGAAGAAACTGTGGATTACCAGTGCCCTATCCTGATAAGGTGGTGTTTATGGTGTAGGCTGACTCATATGTGCATGTCTTTCTTAGAAGCTGGAATTGTCTCTGATGATTTCTTTCTGATTTAAAATAACTCTATGTCTCTCTTTTCTTGCAGAATGAAGAGACGAAAGTGGCCCTACACATGCCCCTCACAAAGGAACATCCTGATCCTTTGTGTTACTGGGTGGTTGATTGCACTGCTGAAGATCCTCCATGTTGAAAGACACTTTTTTCCTTCTAAGGGCATTTACTTGGTTGAGCACTTCTTAAGCACTTCTTCTTATGTTAGAAACAGGTATTCATATCCTAGAAATGTGTTCCACTATGAAATTAATTGTTCATCTATATATGAACAAGATCCTCATGAAATTGGCAAGAGTTTAGAGATAAGAAGAAAAGAAATAGTTGACTTAGCTGATGAAGATGTTGCAGCAATGACAAGTGATTGCCATGTGTATCGTTCTCTTAGGAAATACCACCTAAAACCTGTTTCTCCAGAGGAAGAGAGTTTTCCAATTGCCTATTCTTTGGTTGTTCACAAAGATGCAGTAATGGTAGAAAGGCTCATACATTCATTGTACAGTCATCAAAATATTTACTGTATCCATTATGATGAAAAAGCAGCAAGAAGTTTCAAATCTGCTTTGAAAAATCTGGCTAAATGTTTCCCAAATATTTTCATTGCATCAAAGTTGGAGACAGTGGACTATGCACATATTTCACGTCTGCAAGCAGATTTCAATTGTTTGTCTGATTTGATGGGCTCTCCAGTCCCTTGGAAGTATGTTATCAATTTGTGTGGTCAAGATTTCCCTTTGAGGTCAAATTTCGAGTTGGTCGCTGAACTGAAGAAACTTCGTGGAGGAAACATGCTGGAAACTACAAAGCCAAGCAGTAGCAAACGAGAACGATTTACTTATCACTATGAACTTATGAAAGTGCCTTATGAATACATGCAGATGCCTGTAAAAACCAACATTTCCAAGAATCCGCCGCCTCACAATATTGAAGTATTTGTAGGCAGTGCCTATTTTGTTTTAAGTCGAGAATTTATTCAATATACACTTGAAAGCTCACTCGCAAAAGATTTTTTTGAGTGGTCAAGGGACACATACTCTCCAGATGAACATTTCTGGGCCACTCTTGTACGTGTTCCTGGGGTCCCTGGGGAAGTTCCAAGGTCATCTCAGGACATAACAGACTTACAAAGCAAAACTCGTCTGGTGAAATGGAATTATCTTGAAGATTATTTGTATCCTCCATGCACTGGTACCCACCTTCGCAGTGTTTGCATCTACGGGGCTGGAGAATTAAGATGGCTTCTGAATTATGGGCACTGGTTTGCCAACAAGATTGACTCCAAAGTAGACCCTGTTCTGGTAAAATGCTTGGCTGAAAAAGTGGCAGAACAACAGAAGGAGTGGGTACATTTGTCCTCTGACAAACGCTTTCTGCACTTAAGTTCTACGAATGCCTTGCTATAGCAGCACTGTGCTCTCTGCTGTCCTTGCCGTGTCCTGCTGTAGCACAGCACCTGCAGTTCCTCTCCCTTGTCTGCTGCAGGATGTCAGTGAGCAAAACATCCATTCTGTATGAAGTTCAAGCCCCTGGAGAGCCAGGTGCCTGGCGTTTATTTATGAAAAGTTATGCCTCTCTGATTAATTGTTTTGTAACTTGCCACAATAAACCTGTAATTGTTCTTCAGGGTGATTCTGAGAGGTGAAATTTTCTTTTGGAGGCTGTGGCATTGTTTGTCCCAAAGGAGTATTTCAGAAATGGGTTTTACTTCAAGTGTGTTTGTGTCTTTCATAAGAAACTCCAACACGTCTGTCTGCCTGTCCCCTTTTCCTTCACTTTTACTTTTCTTAAAGGAATGAAACAAAGACCTCTGTGTCTGCTGCCTCAGGAAAACTGCAAGTGCCCATCTCACAGACAAAACCAAGAGATCAGCATGACACCAAATGAGCCATGTGACCTCACCTGAAGTTTCAAACTTCTCATCTGTGGGAGCTGCACAGATCTTTGCAATGTGAATATGACTGGATGATATAAGGGAAAGAAGATCCCTGTGTGCTGCATTGTCTGTAGCATTGTTTTCTTCTCCCAACTCACCTGTGCGTTGCTTTTCCTTTTGTGAAGCATGTGCTCAGCATTGCTGTGCAATGCTATGGAATCTGTGATAGTTGGTTGAAACAGAATTGTGCAATGTTATTCTTCAAAGTTACAAGTGTGTTCTAAGGGCAGTCTCTGCGGCCCCTTAGGGTAGAATCCACACCAAAAGAGATCAATCTTCATTTCTATCTCTGCCCATAGAAATATCCTTCTGTGAAATCCCAATCTATACATAGTGGATAACAAGTGCTATTTCTAGTTAGTGTTGAGCAGTGTGGTGCTATGTTGAAGTGCAGAACGTGCGAAGTTGAGCAGTAACCATAAGAATAGCCATATTGCAGAAATTATGACCCTGTGTAAAGTGTCTTTCTGTGCAAGTCCGTGGCTTTGTGCCACCACGATCCCAGGCTGACAGGAGCCTGAATGAGGCCTAGTTTAGCTGTAGAGCAATTATTTTCCAACAGCCCCTGCTTACCATGGCCCTCCCAGATCTTCAGATAGTGAAGTGTCTCTGGAGCCTCCTCGCAGATGTGCTTCTCATGCTACAGCATGCAGGAAGTGTTTGCTAGTGTAGGGGTCTCTGCAGAAACCCTTGCAACTTAGAAATGCCACTTGGCATTTTGGGGATTTCCCTGGAATACTGCTCTGCCAGAAGTTCAGTTTTGGTGGTTCCAGTGGACCCTGGGGTCTAGCTTTCTCCATGCCACTGTCTTCTTTCTAGCCATCTGTCTTTTATTATGGGGCCTCTTCCCATGAGTGACTTTAGGACATCTGGCCTTACTGTTCTACAAATTGCTGCAGTAATGATCATGTCTCATATCCGTGCTCCTTATTTGATCTGAAAGAACCAAGTCACTTTTTGCTCTCACCTTCTGTTTATAAATTTAGTCACTGTCAAGTCATCTGTGGCTTAAGACTGGTTTGAGAGTCAGGAGTCTCAGGCCTTTTCCCACATTTGCGACACTGATTTTCAATAAGACCTCAGACAAACCATGTGAGTTTTCTGTTTCAGCTGTTCCAGCTGTAAAATGGGAACCACAATCTTCTATTATTTTACTAAGCACTTTGGAACCTGTGGGTCTTGTGAGTTGGTTGCACAATACTAATTGTATATCAAACTATTTATGGAATCTGTGGGTGCACAGGTCACATATTTCTTTAATATATTGTTTCTGAAATAAATGGGGATTACTTTTAAAGTCTGTGTTGCTTACTTAAGTGACTTGCCATGTCTACCTAGGGCTGTCCTGACTTGATGTAATTTGTAGACACTTTGTAGAAAATGAAATATTGATAGTATTTACAGATTCATACATTAGTACTTGTATATAAATACAGTCCCCATGTGGTAAAAAGGTTAATAAAAGAGAATGTTAGAATCCCAGAGGGCCAAGCTACAGCCTTCTGTGCACATAAACCCATGGTTAATGATATATTTAAAATTTTGTATTTAGTTAAACTGGCTTTATATATGTATGTATGTACACACACACCCATTCGTGTTTAATTGGAGCTGTTTGACCTGCAATAAATTTATAAATATAATTCACCAGCACAATAAACTTTACGGAAGTATATAATTTTAATCAAGATGAAACTTTGTGCTACTTTAGTTGAACTGGGTTTAATGATACCTGTCATTTAACTAGTTTGGAATAAGGCAGCTCATCCTTCCGAGGTCGTAGGGAAGAGGATGCGGATGTGGCACAATGTGAGGCAGCATCATGCATTACAGCAATATGTTTGCTAGATGTGAAAGTAGAAGTTGTGCAGACATAGCTGCAACTTTATGAAGTTCTGATTTTCTAATGAATTCTAGATATTTCTGCTTTTTTTGAAAGTAACTTCAAAGGCTCTTCAAGGTTGTAGAAAGGCAGTTCACAAAAATCACGGGGCTGATCAGGCCCTGAAAATCATCTAGCCCAGCCTCCTACTCACAATAGGATCAACACTTACTTTTAGCTGAGTTTCTTGGGCTTTCCAGGGATTCTTGCAGAGGACTCTTCCTCTAAGGAAGGAGGAACATTTTCCATTGTTTCCAAAAGAAGAAGAAAAATGGTCAAAATGTAAGTTTCTTAACTTTGGAATAATTTTATCTCTGTTTTTAACTTTACATTCAGCAGTGTTGCCATTATTTACTTTTGGCTTCATCATAGTTGCTCTTTACACAGGTAGGTCTGTTTTTGCTGTATATGTACCTAGGACATGATCCACTATCTTTCTGTGAGGAAAGAACCTGAACCTAGTTTATGGCAAAGCAAATATGAAGTTTTATTTGGGCCAAAACTTAGATTAGAGGCAGTTCTCACAGGGGTGCTCTCATAGGAGTTGTTAATTTTTATTTTGATTTGGTTTGGGTTTTTTTTTGGTTTTTTTTTTTTTTTTTTTTTTTTTTTTTTTTTTTTTTTTTTTGTTTTGTGGTTTGTTTTTGTTTTTGTTTGTTTGTTGTTTGTTTGTTTTTTTGGTTTTTTGTTTTGTTTTTGTTTTTGTTTGTTTGTTGGTTTGGTTTTTTGCCTTAGTAAAGCTTAGATATCCTTTTCCTCTTCCCCTTCCTCACTTCTGAGAGATTCCTCTTGTAAGTTATTTCCCAGATTTGAAGTGCACATACATTCACACATATTGGATAGTTTCCTGTGTACTTTTCCTGCTGAAAAAGGCCCATGCTGGCTTTCTTCCACCTACCCTGCCTTGTGCTGGTCACATGGAGAATCTGGACTATCAGTTGACCTTGTTTTCCTGTTCAAGAAGGATGCACAAGCACAGCAATAATGCTGGTCCTGGCTATCAGCACTAGTCCAGCCCACCATTTTGTTAGTGGATGAAAAAGCAAAAATGCTAAATGTGTTCTAACACGGACAAGTTAAGTAAGGAAGAAAAGGAAATAATAAGCTTTAATGAAAGAGATGCAGAGCCAACATTAGTACAACTTGTCTTGCTAATGAATTTATTAGGCTAGACATGGAGTCAGGACAATAGTATATACAAACATAAATGCCTCACAATATACTTTCTTCAATGTTGGAATAAAAGAATGTGAAAGGAAAGACTAGAAATTAGACATCTAATCTGCAATTGTAATTAAACCAGACTTGGACTGTTGAGTATTTTTATGACTGTAAAGTCATTTCTGTGGCACTTAAATCAGAATGTATAAACATGAAAAAACCAGGACTTGGGCAGCAGATATGCAGTATATGTGGGACACTAGTGTGTGTTTACAGTGTGACCTTGAGTTTTATTTCAGGTATAATATCTGTTTCTACTTGGTGTTTTTACAGAAATTGGATTGATCTTGGTGATATTTTCCACTCACATAGATACGATACTTCAGAACAATATGATCTGTTACTACAATGCAGTAAATCTGTGCTGGAAGACCCCAGTGCTGTTTGGTATTTCAAGCTGATAGTTAAACCCTCTATCCTGGGCCTGTTTCTTCAGAGCTACAAAACTGGTTAGTTTTTTATGGCTAAAGTATGCTAATCTTTGTAGCACTAATCTTTCTTAGAGGACGGAGAAAGCAATAGACGTGAAACTTTGGAGGAGGTGTTTTTTCAAGTGAGACAGTACATTGGTCTTGCGTGGCCAAGTAGGAGAGGAGGTGCTCCTGGTGCCAGAACAGAGATTCCCCTGCAGCCCGTGGTGCAGGCCGTGGTGAAGGCAGCTGTGCCACTGCAGCCCATGGAGGTTCATGGTGGAGCAGAGATCCACCTGCAGCCTGTGGAGAACCCCAAGCTGGAGCAGGTGAATACCCAAAGAAGGCTGTGACCCCATGGGAAGCCCATGCTGAAGCAGGCTCCTGGCAGGACCTGTGGCCCTGTGGAGAGAGATGATCACTCTTGAGCTGGTTTGCTGGCAGGACTTGTGATCCTGTGGGCGACCCACACTGGAGCAGTCTGTTCCTGAAGGACCGTGCTCTGTGGGAGGGATCCACACTACAGCAGTTAATGAAGAACTGCAGCACATGGGAAGGAACGACACTGAAGAAGTTCACGGAGAACTGTCTCCCATTGGAGGGACTCCACGCTGGAGCATGGGAGAAGTGTGAGGAATCCTCCCCATGAGGAGGAAGGAATGGCAGAGACAGCGTGTGAGGTAGTGACCCCAAACCCTTTTCCCCATCCCCCTGCACTGCTGAGGGGGAGGAGGTAGAGAAAATTAGGAGTGAGGTTGAGCCCAGGTAGAAGGGAGGAGTGGGGGAAGGTGATTTTTTTTCTTAAAGATTTTTTTCCCACACTCTAGATTAGTAAAAACTAATTTTTTCCATGAGTGATCTCTTCCTGTCCTTACCTTTACTCAGAAGCCTTTTGTTTTATTTTCTCTCCCCTGTTCAGCTGAGGAGGAGAGTGACAGAGCAGCTTTGGTGGGCACCTGGTGTCCAGCCAGGGTCAAACCACCACAGACAGGAAGGAGCCAGATCATATATTGTTAAGAGGAACAAGGAAAATATGTTTTCTTGCTGCTGAGCTTCCACTTATGTGTCTTAGCACAGATTTGCTTAAGTGGAAATGCTTGCATATAGCATGGTTGCTGCTGCCATCTCTGATCAAGGTAAGCTAGACTTGAGTTAGTACATTTTGAAAACAAAGATG